AATTAATAGCTGTGGATTCCACATTATTCCCTAACTAAATTAAAAAAAAAAAAAAAAATCATTTTATGAAGGCCAAGACCATATCAAGAATCAAGCTCTTAACAACTACAACCAGTGCGGGGGGGTAAAACAACAAAAAAAACCACCACAGCAGCCTGGTCCTCATTAAGTTTTGGGTTTTTTTTTAATATAATAAGCTTTATGTCTAGCAAAAGTGTTTCTTTTCATGAGGAGCTGGATACTTATGAAGGAAAAATACTTACGATTTGTTTTCAGAATATGCTCGTGTACAAAAAAAAAAAAAATCCATTACTTTGTATTCATGGAACAAAAAGCACAATCTTTGCACTTACCCTTTCAGTGACTGTTCTATGAGAGTATCCAGAGCTACTGTACGGGGACTGCTGAATCACGGCCTGAACCGCTGATTAATCATCTGAGGCAAGCAATGAGTCAGCCCTTATTTTTCTAATTTTTCATGGAAATTTTATTGTAATTTTCTCTTGATGAACACACACAAGAGGCTGAATAGCTGGTCGTAGACCAGGTATAGACCATAGAGCTCTTAGAGGCCCTGTACTACAGCCAGTACTTTCAGAACTTCCTTTCCCTTAAAGTCGTTTCCTAAAATGAAAGTAGTAGACAATGATGCTTGCTCTCATTTCTCCCTTTGTTGGTGCTTAACGTTCTTCCATCATTACCAAATGATGGTCCTACCTCAGAGGCTTTTTTGTTTGTTTTTTCAACCTCAGTCATTGTCATATGTCTATGATAATTAATAAAGATTTATGTCCATGAAGAAGGTAGAGGTGGAAAGGCATCCAGAGCTCACGTGACTTAATCAGGCTAGAAAGGTTAAGAAGCACCACAAATTCTGTAACTAAAATTATGTAAAAGTTTGACATGCATAAAGAGAGTAACAGGAAGAGCTGAACACATTCAAATCTATCAGTGATATTATAATTTATATTATAAAGTCAGCCATATAATTTAATTATTGTAGTAATGTTAGGCAGGAACGTAAAGACAAGATAGCGAAAGTCTTCAATAATTCGCCTCTAAAATAGTCATTCATCCCCACCTAAAGAAAGAGAAAGCAACGCCTCAAGAGAAATTTAAAAGTGAACAGCTTAACAAGCTAATTGCTTTTAATGAGAATGTAATGGTGGCAATTAGAAATGCATCAGATTGAGGTAGGCCAACGCTTAACATTAATTAACATCACTCCACTAGCTTCAATGAAATAACAGAAATTTCTATGTCTTACTTTTCACAGTTCTTGTTGTTAGCAGACAATACAATTCTGCTTGTGGGTGGGTTTTTTTTGTGTGTATTTTTGTTCATTTGTTTGGGTGGGTTTTGGGCAGCAGAGCTCTGTGGTCATTGTGGTTCCCTTCAAGCTGAACTGTTTGGTTCCAAAGAGCTGTCAGTAATCCAGCCAAACTCACAGCCCGTGCAGTAATGCATGCATTTAAATTCAAATCACGTGCAAACGGAGGCAAATATTGCCAAGATCTCCCTTAGCTAAATCTTCCGTAACACTACAGATTGCCTTGTAAAAAACCAACAGGAATTTAAAACTGTAAAGACCCTACTGCTGGGCTCTTGAGTACAGCTCAGAAAAGACCATCCGGACAGAAAATAACAGCTTCCACATGCAGGTACAAACTGCTTCTCCTTCAGGAAACAATGGCAGGAGCCAGGCATTAGCCTCAGTCTACTGCTGCAGATGTAGCTTTAAATGCAACTGATTGCAAATTATGAAAAATCTCGTGGGAAAAAAAAAAAAACCTACACAGAAGTTGCATTGGAACAACTGAAATCTCATAGAGAATAAAAAAAAGGAAACGAAATACTGAGTTCTGAGTACAGAACTGAGTTCTGTACTAGTTACAAAGTAACTTAGAAAAGTTACTTTGGACTAGGACCACCGCTCGTGTTCTGCGCGGAAACAGGACATCGGCACCCGCGCAGCGCACGGCCCCGCCACACGCTTTCTCCACAGACCCAAATTGCGCGGGAACTCCCCAACGCTTCAGTCACGCCAGCAACCGAGCATGCGGCAGTTAGCACCCCACGTGAGGAGAAGAGCGCACTGGCGAATCGGTGGCCGCCGTTCGCCTCTGGCCCGGGTGACAGCCAATGGGAAAGCAGCGCGCAAGGGCTCTCCGGACCGTTACCTGACGGCGGTTGGGTCTCTTCGGCTGCGGACGTACTCCGGTGCAGTGCCGTGCGGTCGGAGCTGCTGAGGCTTACGAGGCGCCATGGTGGGAGTGGGAACTCGGGTTGGGGAGAGGAAGGGAACCTGGGATGGCTTTTGCCGCGGCGGGTTTGGGGAGTCGAGAGTTACCTGTGCTGCGGCGGATCTCGCGGAGTGCTGCCGCTTGCGGCCCTGCGGTGGCATAAGGCCGTGTGTGGGAGTGGAGAAATTAACATGAGAACTGAGAGTTGGAGGGAGGTGATGTGTAGAAGTTGTCTGGCGGTAAATGAGACAAAACAGGTGGAAAAGCAACGAAACCGGCTTTGCAGTGCGAAGGACGACGGTTGAGGGACAAGAACGCCTACCGCATCGGCGGCGGCATTTCTTGTGGTGCCTAAAACGATTGGGGGCTGCACGCAGCCAATCAGAGGAGAGGCCTGTGTCCGGCGGCCCATGGCGTGCCACCGTGCCGTGAAGGGGCGCGGCTGTGCGGCGGTGTCTGAGCCTCTGCTCCCGCTCCGGACTGCGCGGGGCTGCGCGCTGGGGAACGAGAGCCTGGGGTGGTGTGAAAGCGTTGGAAGCTCATTGCCAACCCAATAGAAGTGCAGATAAATGCAGAGTGAGCCTCACTGGCAAAAGGCTAGTGACAGAACCACGAGGGTGAGAATTCAAACGTGTAGTTGAAGATGAGAGTTTTGATGAAGCTTTAAAGACGCTCTCTACCTCTGTGTTTTCCTAGATCAGCTAAATACACAGTAATAGTGTATAATATATGTATGGTATATAATAATAAGCTAGAATAAGAGTTTCAGTCTCAGATGTAAAATAAAATTGGGGTTTTGAGTGATTAAACGTAAGTGCCATGCTTCCTCACCCAGATGATTTAGTAGAGGAACCCAAATATGAATGGATTGCCTGGCACTAGTTATGTGCTTATTGTAAAGGAAAACATACTTAGAGGTCTTGTGCAGAAAAGATTCTTGCAACATTACTCAGTACATTATTGTCAACAGATCAAGGAAATAGGGGGTTATTATATAAAGAAGGCTTCTAAAACCAAAGAAAGGTGAAAAAGAGACTAAACGGAATATTATACACAGGATATGTGTGCTCTGTGGTAAGGAATGATGATACTGCATTCATCCTGTGTGACCACGTGGTATCTGAGATCCTCCAACATTCTCAGCATTAAATCCTAGAATCTTTACAGTTGGTCAGCTGGTCAAACTCCCCGGCAATGATTAGGGAAAAGCACAGCTAGATTAGATTGCCCAGGGCTTGATCCCACCTTGCCTTGTAAGTCTCCAGGAATGAGGCATCGACCACAACTCTAGGCAGCCTGTTCCAGTGCTTCGCCACCCTTGCTGTAAAAAACTGTTTCCTTCTATCCAACCTAAATTTGTTTTACTTTGTGAAGTTTGCCTGCACCCACTGCTCAAGCCTGCTTAGGTCCCTCTGGATGGCATCCTGTTCCTCTGGTGTGTCAACTGCAGCCCACAGCTTGGTGTCATTAGCAAACTTGCTGAGGGTGCACTTGACCCCACTTTTGATGTTGCTGATGAAGGTATCAAAGAGTACCAGTCCCAGCACTGATCCCTGGGGGACGCTGCTTGTCACCGATCTTCATCCGGACACTGAGCCATTGGCCACTGCTCTCTGGACTCGATTCTGCAGCCAGTTCTTCATCCATTGAACAGTCCACTCATCAAATCCATATATTTCATATATATTTTCATATATTTCCATATATTTAAGGACTGTGATTGAAGGACTCTGACACAATACCCCACAACATCCTTCTCTCCAAATTGGAAATACATGTGGCTCTTCTGTTGTCCATTGATGCAGTGACACTGCCATAGAAGGCTGCTAGGTTGGTCAAGCAGGATTTGGCCTTGGTGAAGCCATGCTGGTTCTCCCTGCCTTCCATGTGCCTTAGCTCACAGAGGTGAGACTGATGGGTTGGTAGTTTTGAGGGTCATCATATTATCCTTCTTAGAAGTGGGTGTGCTGTTGACTTTTTCCAGTCACCAGAGGCTGATCCAGATGTCATGGAGAGTGGCTTGGTGACTACATCAGCTAATTCCCTAAGGACTCTGGGATGCATTTCATCGGGACTCATAAAGTGGCAGATGTTCAGGTTCCTCAGGTGGTCAAAAACGTGATCTTTGCTTACAGTGGGAGGAACATTGCTTCCCCAGTTCCCTCCTGCTAAACCAAACATTTGAGGGCTGTTTGGCGAGCAGTTATCAGAGAAGATTGAAGCAAAGAAGTTGTTAAGTACCTCAGCCTTCTCCTTGTCTGTTGTTACCAGATCGCCTGTGTCACTTACTAGGCATGGTATGCATTCCTGGACTTTCCTTTTCTGGATGAGGTACCTGTAGAAGCCTTTCTTGTTCTTCTTGGTATCCCTTGCCAAAGTTAGGCCAAGCTGAGCCTTGGCTTTCCTGACCCCCTCCCTGCACAGACTTGCAGCTTCTTTGTAGTCTTCCCATGGTACCTGTTTGCACTGCCTGTACGTTTTCTTCTTGTTCTTCCATTTGACCAGCAGGTCCTGGTTCAGCCACACCTGTCTCTTGCCTTCCTTTCCTGACAGCGTAGATCAGCAGCAGTGAGTAGATTCATGCTAGCAGCAGACTGTTGGATCATTTTAATTGTCACTCAAGCAGCCGAGGTAATAATGCAGCAGGGAAAGATCACTACAGTATAACCCACAGATAGAAAGTTATTTTGAGAGTGAAATCTAAGTGACGGATAGCCCCAGATCTCACGTTGTCATTGTCCTTTTCTTTGTTTGCAGCGTGAGTGCATATCTATCCATGTTGGTCAGGCTGGTGTGCAGATTGGCAATGCATGCTGGGAGTTGTATTGTCTTGAACATGGGATCCAGCCTGATGGTCACATGCTCAGTGATAAAACTATCGGAGGCAGAGATGATTCATTTAACACCTTCTTCAGTGAGACGGGAGCTGGTAAACGTGTTCCCAGAGCAGTGTTTGTGGACCTGGAGCCAACGGTAGTCGGTACGTACGCAAGATGCACATCTTCCATGTGAAACTACTCCTTTCCTTTCAGACTTTTTTGTGGTTTCAAAACACTAGGGGTTCTAAAAGGTGTATAGCTGGATGATGTTTTGACATTTTTGGTTAGTGTTATTTGAAAGAGATGAAATGATGGTCTATGTTTGATAATGTTTGGAAAACATTAAACTTCTTTGCAGATTTTGGATAATCTTTCCAAGTCACTGCACTACATCCACAGCTTCATTTAATTGCTATCCAGAATGCCTGTGCCTGCAGTGTAGTTCTCTTGAGTTGCCTCCGCGTTCCAGGATGCAAATACTGCTTTGTGAGCATCCGATGTTTTCCCCTAAAGAAAGACACTGAAGTTGTACCAACTTCATGCTGCGTTTGTTCATGGAAGCTGTCTGTAGGTTTTTGACATTTCCTTTTACTTAGTATGTCATCCCTAGGCACCACATGCAGAACTCAGCAGATAAATTTTATGTTGGAATATGTATTTTTTCATTTGTAGATGAAGTACGTACAGGCACATATAGGCAGTTGTTCCACCCTGAGCAGCTCATTACTGGGAAAGAAGATGCAGCTAATAATTATGCCAGAGGCCATTACACCATTGGAAAACAGATTGTTGATCTAGTGTTAGACCGCACGCGCAAAGTGGTAAGAATTCATGCTGCAGATCAATATTTAAAATAAGTAAGATACAGCTCTAGAGCTACCTATAGTTACAATTTGTTATGACACTTGTGTTGTTTTTTTTTTTTTCTGGGGGGGGGAGGGAGTTGTTTGTTTTTACGAATTTTATGCATAGATTATTAAAAACAAAAAAGTAGGAACTTGGTCCCATGCCTCCCCCCTCTTGAGTTAAATAAAAATTCAGTCAGTAAAACTTGAAAGTTCTTGTGATGTGGAACATCATTATTTGAAGATATTTTAAGGATACCTCAGAAGTGCGCTATAAAATCTTTAGACTGTAAGCACTTGTTCATTATTTTTAACCTGAATCGCACCATTATGTGTCATTCAAAATATTTCCAGTACCCTGAAACTCAGATTTTGGTTGGACGTTCAGTAATTTCACATGTCTTTCTAGGTTTCCATAACCTGATGTAATGTAAGAAATTCACGTAGCATGATATGAATCAAAGTGAAGTAGTGATTGCCTATCTGAAGTTGTAAAAATACTTTTTTTCCAAACCAAATTGATACTTGCTGCCATATAGAGTACAACAGTAGTTTAAAAGCTGCAAGCCTGCTGTAATTTCTAATAACCTTTCACAGTGGTGCACAACTGCTCTTGCTTTTAGTAGGATAAAAAATGCATAAAGGAAAATGCTACATTCAAATGAGAAAATACTCATATTCAGAACAAGGTGTGCTGTGGTGGTTTTAAGTAAAAGATATACAAGAAAAAAGTTACCTTTTAAAACAAATGATTAGGAAATAATTGCTTTTGAGTGTTTATTTTAATGTTGATGATTTTGGAAAAGGTAATAATAAATATACGTGTTTTCTCTCTTGCTTTTTTCCACCCTATTATAGGCTGATCTGTGCACTGGGCTGCAAGGTTTCCTTATCTTTCACAGTTTTGGAGGAGGCACTGGTTCAGGGTTTACCTCTCTGCTCATGGAAAGGCTCTCTGTTGACTATGGCAAAAAATCTAAACTAGAATTTGCAATTTATCCAGCACCACAGGTTTCTACTGCTGTAGTGGAACCTTACAATTCAATTTTAACTACACATGCAACACTGGAGCATTCAGACTGCGCATTCATGGTAGATAATGAAGCCGCTTATGATATATGTCGTTGCAACCTGGACATAGAACGTCCCACTTATACCAATTTAAATCGGCTAATTGGGCCGATTGTTTCATCCATCACAGCTTCACTACGTTTTGATGGAGCCCTTAATGTAGATCTGACAGAATTTCAAACTAACCTTGTTCCGTACCCACGAATCCATTTCCCCTTGATAACATATGCCCCTATCATCTCTGCTGAAAAAGCCTGCCATGAGCAGTTATCCGTGGCTGAAATTACCAATGCTTGCTTTGAACCAGCCAACCAGATGGTAAAATGTGACCCAAGTCATGGTAAATACATGGCCTGCTGTATGTTATACAGAGGTGATGTTGTCCCTAAAGATGTTAACGCAGCCATCGCTACTATCAAGACTAAACGTACCGTTCAGTTTGTGGATTGGTGCCCAACTGGATTCAAGGTACTTTGATAACTTCTGAAGTGCTTGATTTTGGAAATAGTAGGAATTACATGATATTTGGAGGTAGCGGTCATTGTGCTGTACTGTAACGTTCCTGTTACTGAACTGCTTACGTTTCAGATTATATTCTTAAATACAATTCCATGATATTTTAACTCGGATGAAAATTCTAAAACAAGTTACAGAGTAGCAGTCACGGTTTTTGTAGGAACAGGCAATACTGAGTGTCTGAAAATAATTTACAAACAGGTAGTACTGAAAAGCAATGCCAGGTTTTACTGCAAGTCTTCAAAAATCTAGGGAGCTTTGTACAGAAGGAATATAGGCAAGCCCCAAGCAAATGTAGAAACACTACATTAAGTTATTGAATTCAGTGCAGTAAATTCCCAAAAATGTTTTTGAGATACCTTGAAGTGGTAGACGCTATCAGTTTCTGGACAGGTGGAGCCTGACTGCTGTCACTAGAGCAAACCTATTCTTTTCGTTGTGATTCATTTTAACATAGGCTCCTGTAAGTAGACTTTTTACTAGATCAGTATCAGGTTGTTCAGCTACTTCTGCTTGTTCTCAGTTGACTGGCAGTGTCACCTTCTGGACAAGAGGTCCATCCTTCCAGCTACTGTCCATGCATTCAGGACTTGGAAAGACCTAGATTCTTATGTTCTTTGTAGAGTCCAGTAAGCTGTTATGATCTGTTGGAAAAATAATCTCTAGGCCAGTGTAGCTAACGCTGGACCAGTTTGACCAGATCCTGAATTTAGGATTTAGTTAAATATTTTGATGAAGCGCAAAATAATTTTATTTAATTGTTCACAGTTGTGGCTACTGTTGTTGTTAACAGAAATAAGTCTTCAGTGCTTCCCAGTAATTAAAGACGTTCTCACTTGTTTTCTTGAAGGTGGGCATTAACTACCAGCCTCCGACTGTGGTGCCAGGTGGCGACCTTGCAAAGGTGCAGAGAGCTGTATGTATGCTGACTAATACCACTGCCATTGCTGAAGCATGGGCTCGTCTCAACCGTAAATTCGATTTGATGTATGCCAAACGTGCCTTTGTACATTGGTATGTTGGGGAAGGAATGGAGGAAGGAGAATTTTCCGAAGCCCGGAAAGATCTGGCTGCCCTTGAAAAAGATTATGAAGAAGTTGGGATAGACTCTGTAGAAGCAGAGGATGAAGAGGAGGATTTCTACTGAAAATGCTGAAGTAATAAGAAGTGTGTTCTGTAACAGCAACAAATGAATTGCAGAATCCTGTTCGCTTGCTTGCTTGTTTTCAGATGCAGTTTTAAATGTTGTACTGTTCATTTTTTTCTTTGTTACTGTTTACACGCACAGTTGCTGCGTAAGAACTGTTTGAAATTACAGTTTTTGGTAGCATCTAGTGTTGCACAACTTAAAGATTAAATTACAAACTTGTGTACGTGTCTGTAACACTGTATTTATCTATTTATCTATTTATCAGTTTATCTAACTGTAGTAAGGGTAAGTGCCATTACACTTTTGGTCTGAACTAGAATATTTGCTAAAAGCACCAAACTTGCTACTTAAAAAAATAAAATTAAAAAAAAAAAAATGGGGAGACTCAGCAGACAAAAGGTAAAATTTTCCAACC